GATATAACGGGGGGTTACGTATTGTAACCCTAGTTATATAAGCACAGGCGGAGCCCTCTACTCAGGGCACTGTCTGTTCTATTCCGCTCGCTGAAGAGAGGTATAGGATGATAGTCAGGAGGCGAGGCCTCCTTTTATACAGTGTGATGCGCGCGCATTCAGGTAGGCCCGCCCTGGGCCGGCTACGTCTATAGAAGTCTCAGTGGGAGAATGCACGCGGGATAAGGTAGTACCCATAGAGTCCAGTAGAGTGCTCCGCCTGTGCTTATATAACTAGGGTTACAATACGTAACCCCCCGTTTTCTGACACTTGGTGAGTTCCCTGGAACACCGGGGACACATATTCATATATAAAAGACGTACAAAAGTGCATTTTGCATGATAGGTCCCCTTTAAGGTTTTGCATAGGTTACATCTATCTGCAAGTAAACTGGCCAGATTTTACCCAGGTTTAGACCCAACCTGCATCAGGTGCAGTAGGGACCCGGCCAGCCTAAGTCACATGTTTTGGCTCTATCCAAAACTGGCCCCTTTTTGGACTGGTATATTGAAAACCTTTTCGTACATGTGTAACACGGCTGTGGATGCAAACCCATTGACTGCATTATTTGGCGTGGTCACACAGGAGACATGAATAACAACTGATCAGGCTGAGGCTGTGGCATTCTCTACCCTACTTGCTAGCAGGGGCGGACTGGCAATCTGGAGAACCACAGAACGGCCGGTCGTCAAGGGCCGTTGACGGCCGGCCGGCCCTTTACATTTTTTTTTTAAAAGTCATCATTTAAGTTGCGCTTATGGCCGACAGAGGGCGACAGCGGCCGCTAATGCAGTTGTGTGGTTCTTATCTGTCAAATAATCACACACGAAGAAGAAAAAAGACCGGCCACACGAAGGCCCTCGCGCGGAGGGTCCACCACATTAAGTGCTGTTCCAAACCAACGAGTGTGGAGCGGTGGGGAGTGGGTTATCAAGCCCTCAAACAGCGAGTCTGCAGCGGTGCTGACTGGAGACCGGTCTCTACCTGACCGGAGTCACGCTGTGTGTGTCCGTCAGGTTACACGCTGTTTACAAGCAGTTCCAGCAAACATCCACTGATAAACTCGCAGGTGATGCATATAAATGATGCATATAAATGTCGCAAATTGACAGACCTTTTTGGCAGCAGCGCTGCTACAAGCACTATCAGCAGCAGCTTAGAACAAGTGCAAGATGATGAAGAGAATGATGAGGGCGCGAGTTCAGATATACAGCCAGCCTCCTGCGTTCATGATGATGGACAGAGTTGAGCTGGTGGAAGAACCAGCTCAACTGGCACATACAAGTGCAGGGCAAGAGCAAGAGGTGGGTGAGAAGTATCCCTTGAACTCAGTGGCGTTTTCTCCTGGAGGCCAAGGGAAGCCAGGCTTCCCCTGTTTTTTTGGATTGTAGTTATAATTTTAATAAATAAATAAAAACACTTCGTTTAGTTTCGGTAAATATTCTGCCGGCCCATCTCTCCCCCATTCTCATTGAGTATTTTACAAAGAGTGAAACAGCGCCCCTCTAGATGTTATGGTGAAACAGTAGATTGCACTCTTTTGCGAGAGGAGGCTAGCCGAAATTGGCTTCCCTTGGTGAAAAGAAATTGAGGGATTGACCAATCAGATGAGGCTCACATCATGCCTCACAATCCAACCAAATCGCATCAACTTCAGTTCGTACTGTAACTGTCATCACCGCCCTTAAAAAGTAGCAAGCAACTGAAGCAAGTGCAATTATGGAGGGTGGAGATTTGGATTATTTCATAAAAAATAATTTTACTAAACTTCCACTACTACAGCAGCAACTCAAAATGAAATCTGATGACAGGCCAATGCCCAAACTGGAGCTGTGTACAGAGAGGAAAAAAGGAGCGAATCGGACGTAAAACTTTAAATAATAAACAGCGGATTTCTAACATTTGACATTTCATGTGGCCGGACTGGGTCAGTTTCCAGGGCTGAATTTGAGTCCCAGTCCGCCCCTGCTTGCTAGACATCTGATACTCTTTAGTTGGAAGAAGGCTGCACCGCCGTCTCATAAGCGCTGGGTAGAGGAAGTAAAGTCCCATCTTAAACTTGAGCAGCTAAAGCACACTACCCGGGGCTCTATCGCAAAGCACTATAAGGTCTGGCAACCATTTCTGTCCTACTTTGAGAACGAATTCTTTAACATTAAAATAATTTTTCATCATTTTTACTTTTGGTTATTTAACCATGTAGTTTTTAATTTAATAATTTATGTTTATGTTTATTTTCTATATACATATTTTGTATCTCTTCTGGATGTCAAATTATATTTTGTTTACTTTCTGTGTGTGCTGTATTTTTGAATGTTGAGTGCTGCTGTTTGTTATATGTGGATAATCAATACAAATATTTGAATAATAATAATAAAATAAAAAATATGTATTTCATTTTTAAAATACACATATGACAATAAAGTAAAAAATGCAATGCCTTTAAATCATTTCGGTGTTTTTCTGTTTCTCACTTAGCTTTCTATTTGCCAAATAAATTGATAAAACACCTATTTAATTCAAAGATGAATTTGACTGAAAGCATAACCTTTTTTTTCTACAATTGTTCTATAAATATCGTCATCATTAATAATTTTGTCCTTGATAATCTTATAGTGAAAATCTCAGGACAAAAGTCAGGACAACCCTTTTCGACAAATGAGCCTGAATATATATATATTTTTCTCAGTACATGCCTGTGTTTTTCTTTGTCTACCACAATATCAATACATTTTATGTTTCTTTAGCAGTCCGGTCAAGACGCAGAGAACCTTCATTATGCTGCTTTAAGGCAACACAACGGCAACAGATCAAGAAGAGAGGGGGAAAACACCCAGTCCGAATGTGTGTACTCCAGTGTAAGGCAGTAATGCTGCAATTGTTTCTGTACTATGTTTCTGTATACAAATATATTTGTTAAAAGAATCATTTAAATTTCACCAAATTCAATAAATATAAAAGCTTGCCTTGCAATACAACGTTCTCACATACAAAAAATACCACTTGGTAGCCTTTTTCTTTAACCTGTTAAGGCCCTGACACACCAGGCAGTCACCAGAGAACTCGCCGACACCGACACCGAGAGTTCCATCGACGAGTTCTCCTGCGTCTTGGCCATGTGTCGCACTGGAACACACCGCAAAGACTTCAGCCGAGCACGTACGAACTGCGCATGCGTGAGTGGCAATAACTCTCCTTACCAGCAGGCGGCGGTAGTGTGTATTCGTCATTGAAAATAGGCAACAACCGGAAGACAGAGAAGAAGAACAGACTGATATAAACAAACAAATAGCGTGTGCGTTCCATTTTCACTCTCGTCCATCGAAAACATGTTTTAGAATATAAAAATACATGAATGATGAAATGAGCACATAAAGTGCAGACATACTATAAAATCACAGTTAATAGACCTGCATCTGATGATCGCAGTGTTCTGGCAGGTGTGTAGTTTATTGAGTCAGCAATGTAGTAATGTATGTAATGTAATAATGGCCACTTCTTGCTAAATTTACATTTCCATGTGATGCTTTTATCCGAGGCGACTCACAATAGGTACATGAACAGCAGTAGACAGTATCTCATTTACTGCACTGTACTTAAGGACAATGTTGAGGTACTTGAGACTAATCCTGCAACTTTATACTGACAAATAAACCAATGAGATGAAAAACCGGACTTGACCAAACAAATCACGGAGCTCTCAGCAGAGGACAGCCGGGGACGCTCCCGCCGATATCAGAGATGTCCCTGCTATGTGTGGGAGGTAAGAGAGGACATTTAAGGGCTATGTTTGATGTCTTTTAAGTATCACCTGCTGGGGTTTAGCTGCTGTCCTGTGCCTTTTTAAATCGTTTGTTTACGTCTCTCATTTGCTAGCTGAACAGCTGATCAGAGTGGTTTCTTGGCCCGATAGCTTGTGTCCGTATTTTGGCCGATTCAACATGTTGAAAACACATTTTTGAATAGAAGGGGACTTAAAATGACCCCATGACCAGGGTTAATGGGAAAAAAAATGTGGTACATCATGCGAGGTTCATACTCAATCAGTGGGATAGAAAGTGTTTTACTGAAGGCAACACTGTAAGCCAGAGATCTGTAGTGCCTCCTTGAGGAGACAAGATGAATCTAAGTTGTTTGCAGGAGTCAACTTGTTGCTCATTAAGGGGGGGAGAATGGCAGTGCTTGCACAGTAGGTCCTCTGGTTTGAAAAAGATAAGCTGTGGGTGCTGTCTGTGGCTGTTTTTTTTACGAATGTGGTCAGCATCTCACTCTGTTGAATCCAAAACCAAGTGACGGATACAACACAGAGTTTGGACCCCCAGGTCTATATGCTGCTATTCACACTTTTAAAGTTTGTTATTGGCACACTTGTGGTACTGACGGGAAAAGATGGGCCATTGACTGCAGGATGGGTCGGATTACTTTGTGATCTGAGCACCTAAACTGCATAGTTTATTAAGAACATCAAACTTGCATGTGACCTATGCATGTCTGACCGTCTGAGCTGCCATGTGAGATTGTGACATATAAAGTGAGGATATCTTTTATAAAGGCTCTATAAAAACGTACATATTTACTTACGCCGTCTGAAATCATTTGAGGGATGCTGTGTCTGAAATTGCATCTGGTAAAGATATCAGAGAGGTGAAAGATTTGAGCTTCCTTGCATGAACCTTTTATTCCCCCACCCCCTTTACAGTACGTAAATATAGAGTGCCCATGCAGTGATACGGTCATACGCACAATGGAAAGCTTCACCTTAATAGCAGCTGTGCTTCTTTGCAGTCTCAGTAAGTATTGAAATGTAATTAATGTCAACTTAATGGCTAGTTTTATAATTGTACATCCAACACGTAATGTGTTTCCGTATCAATTACGTAACTTTTATTAAGAGGTATTGTAAACCTTCATGTGGTTTTATAACAACTATATATTTTGTTGTGTCTGCTCTGTGTTTCAGGCTGGATCTCTGCCTCGGTTAGTCAGACTGTGGAGGTCCAGCCTGGTGAAGAAGTCACTCTGCTCTGCCCCAACGTATCCATCCATCCAACTCAGTCCGACTGGTTCAGAGTGTTCAACAGAGCCAAGCCAAGCTGTGTCTCCTCTATCTACGGGGCTGGTGGCGAAGCTTCATACTGTGATGGATATCAACATGGAAAATTTGAAATGAGTTCCAACTTGACCACTGTCTTTCTTAAAATCAATCAAGTGGATATATCTGACTCTGGACTGTACTTCTGTGGATTGTACATAGGCACAAGTACAGTCATTTCCAGTGCAATCCAGCTAAACGTTGAAGGTAAGATTGTGATTAACTCCCACCTCTTTAAGAAATAAATTGTTCTTATAGTATTTACATTATATCTCAAATGTATTGGAAAACAGCAATAAGACAAATAAGAAACAAATATGTGTACAAAAAGATTCATGTCCATTTCTTCTTAAAAGGTAACGGTGAATCTGATGATGATGAATATGATTTCGAGACCAAAAGTAAGGTTCTCCTCTTTTATTTGCAATTTCCAAACAGCCAGTAATTACAATTTATTTTAACCATATCGTAAGCAACAGGATTAAATTACAGAGTTTAATTATATTCTTTTCTTATAGAGGAGCCTGATGAAATGGCATACCTGATGAGTTTAATTCTGGGATGCTTGGCTTTTTTGCTCACTATAGTCGTCATTGTTCTGGCTGTTAAAATAAGGAAGCTTCAGAGAGGTACAGTGGATTTAATTTTGTTGCACAGCACATTATGGAAAAAAGTATATGATTAGTTTCAATTAACTAAAACACACTGACTTAACACACTTGTTTCTTTTTTTTATTTAGATGCAAATGAAGAATCTCAGCCCAAAAGACCCCAGGTAAACCCAATATTAATGTATACTCTGTGTTATGGTTTTAAAATGCATTTTAACAATTTTAATAATCTGGTATTTGTTTGGTCATGTTATCCCATGCTGCAGCTTGCATCAAACGTATTCAAGCAGGCATAAAGGGAGTCATAATAGTCTTCTTAAACAGAAAATGTATTCTAGTTCAGGCTCAGTACCTTGAAGGTATCTGCATTTTCTTTAGCAAAATTTGTGATTTTGCCAACAGTGATATATTTATTTCCCTATGAAACATTGAAATGCTTAATAAACTCAACCACAATATATGTTTTGTAAGGACAGAGATGTGTATGAAATGTATACACTGCGTACATTTACAACAGTTACAGAATTGTTTTCAAATTATCAAAAACACTGTTATCACTGTCATTGTAAGGTGGAGCGATATATGTCCTGTTAATGAATTAGCTTTTTTCCTCCGATGTGGCCTATTGTACAACCTTGGTTTCAATCATAAAACTGAGAAATTATTTTTTATTTAAGTTCAGTCAGACAACTCACGTGTTTCTTTGGTATGTTTATTAGAAGCAGCATATAGTTTGAGTTTGGCGTCTAGGCTCGGGCCTCATCACTCCACAGATTTACATTGAGTGATGATTATACTATCCCCCTCGAGCCTACAGTTGGATGCTGGGATGGTGGTGGGTCAGGCGAGCAACAATCGAGATGACTGCCCGAACTTTATTCTGTGCAGCACAACTCAGATTCTTTTAAAAGTCGTACTTTTTGTTAAATAAATTATGGTTGTCACTCATTTTAGTTTGGATTATTCCTTTGTGGGACAACCAGCAAAACGCCACATTTTACGGATTTTGCAAACAGCAGGTGACTGAATACTTTATTTTACAGAATATGTGCTCTGATGAACTGAACTACGCGGCTCTGAGTTTCCAGGCGAAGCCAAAAATAAGCCGCAGGCCTGCATCTGAGCGAGAGCTGGAGCCAAATGTAGTGTATGCTGCCACCAGATAGACGAAGGAAACGAGTGGAAATGCAGCTCAGAGTGGAAATAATGCTTTGTCATGGTACACTTCTCTTGTAGCTTCATGTGTGGGAGAATTCACTGGCAAAAAAATAAATGTTGAATATTGTTTCCCTATTTTCCCACTCAGGTTTCTTGTCTACCTTTTTTTTCTTCATCTAAGGCCACAAAGAGCGTGTTAATGTTTGATGGAGGGAGAGGCGTAGAACTGTCAGACCAACTTATATGGAAAGTGAAATGTTCTGCGGAGGGAGGAGGGAGTGACGTACACATCACTTGTTGGCAGGAAGAGACAGCACAATGGGGTCTGACAACAACTGAGGTGAACATTGTCGGGTCAAAGCAAAAGGAAGTGTTGAAAGCAGCTTACTTGTTTATGGCAAACTTAGCGAGCTGCTGTATTTAGACTTTTTTTAGGAAATGAGGAGAAAAATGCTTTTTTTCACAGAACATGTAGATAAATCTCTTCTGACATTGTAAAATCTCTCCACTCCCCGTGACTAAAGTGTATTTACTATAGAGCAGGGAAGTAAGCTAATTAAGTAGCTTTAACTCAATCAAAAGCATCAAAAGGAGAGTGTTGATATTCAACAAGACTTCAGTCGTGAAGCCATGCTAGCAGCTCTGCATCAGCATGCTAAGATATTTAACGTATCAGTCGTAGGGGACATTTCATCTCACTCATGATGAACCACAAAAGTCAATCTCAATGTAGTGTTGGATCTAGCAGGATTCATCCTCTGGGGACCATGAATATCTGTATAAAATACCATAGCAAATCCTTTAAAAATCAATCACCAATTGATTTTCCATTGGAATGTAGCTCTTTTCATTCAAAATTGAAAATAAACGATAATTTCTGTATTATGTGATTATTAGGTGTTGGTAGCATGGAGATAAATACTTGTTGATGCAAACAATTATTTCAGACAGGTTTTTAAATTGCAATAAAACGTGTCTAATGTACGTCTTTCCAGAGATGACAAGAGGTGATTGCAACCAACTGAACACCCCTCTGCTGTCCCCTGTCTTGCAAAGCGTGTTGGAGACCTACAGTGGTTGGTAAAAAATGTGTAAGCCCTCTCTAAAGCAAGTGTTTAGTTTACCCGTTATATGCTACTGTCGAAACATGGTGGTGAAACATACTGTTTTGCGTGGTAGAGGAACCGCTCCTTGTGTAGATACTCAATTTAGGGCTCATTCTAGGAGAATGCAAACAAACAACATGAAAACTCCAAAAAGTTCCTGAGTTTTCAATTATAATGCAGTGATGGTAGATCATCATAGGACACATGATACAACTCCAAATGAAAATGATAAATAAAGCAAAAAACTGCATTCACAGATAAAAAAACAGATAAACACAATAAATCCTGTGCTTTGTTTTCTTATCATATTCCATATCAATTAGACTGTTATGGATAAGGTTAGGATGTTTTCAATGACGACTGCAGGAGAGAACTTGTATTAAGGCGTGTCAGAGCATTGGCAGGTCAGTGTGAACAAAAGACACCCCGCCTCTCTTTACCCCTTTATATAGTAGGGTGGTGAATACTCTTTCACTGACAATGACAATGAGGAGCTTCGCCTTCATAACAGCTTTTCTTCTCTGCAGCTTCAGTAAGTACTAGCACTTTATTATTCTCAGCGTCAAATTATGTAACCTACAATTTAAACATGCAACAATAGAACTGAACTGATTGTTGTTGTTGCTTTATTACTGTTGGCTTATTGCGGTAAATGCCGCTGTCTCTACTGTTTCAGTCTGGATCTCTGCCTCTGTTAGTCAGACTGTGGAGGTCCAGCCTGGTGAAGAAGTCACTCTGCTCTGCCCCAACGTATCCATCCATTCAACTCAGTCCGACTGGTTCAGAGTGATTAACATAACCAAGCCAAGCTGTGTCTCTTCTATCTACGGGGCTGCAGGCGAAGCTTCATACTGTGATGGGTTTCAACATGGAACATTGGAAATGAGTTCCAACTTGACCACCGTATTTCTTAAAATCAAGCAAGTGGATATATCTGACTCTGGACTGTACTTCTGTGGATTTGACATAGGCACAAGTACAGTCATTTCCAGTGCAATCCAGCTAAATGTTGAAGGTAAGATTGTAATTGAGTCATACCGCTTTCAGAGATGTATTTTTCTCATTTTAATTATAGTATCATTGAAATGTATTATATGAAAATAAAAACCATAAAAGTAAATAACGCAGAAATACAATGTGATTTGGAGACTAAAAGAAGGTTTTTTTTTTATGGTCGTATAATCTATTGAGTTTTTTGATATAGTATAACTTGAATTGTACGCAGTGGTGTGAAAGAAGCATAACAAACATGGATTCATTTATCCCCATTTTGTATAGATTATTTTGATTCCTATGATTCCAGGATTATTAGAGTAAGACTCTTCTAAAAAATGTTAACTATGTAAACTTGTTACAATTACAACCCATTTACACTTGTTATATTAACACTGTTAAAAGCAACTTTTTGAAGCCAAGCTGAGATGATTGGCTGACATGAAATAATTGTATCCCCATTTTATAGGTTATGTTGAGATGAAGTGCTCTTCGAGACTAACAGTAAGACTCTTCTCAAAAATGTTAACTGTTCAAGTTTTTTACAATTAGAACACATTTACACTTGTAATATTAACAATGTTAAATGCAATTGTATTTAGGAGACAGTGAAGGATTTGGAAAATACATGCCTTGGATGACTGTGAACCTGGGCACTCTGACTGTTTTCTTCATTGTTTTGGCTGTTAAAATCAGGAAACTCCAGAAAGGTAAGGCTGACAAACAGTTTGTTAAATGTTCTGTCATTTAAAGTTATAACAGACTAATCTTAATCAATGTATTTGTTTAAATCTAACTAATCAGGCTTATGTTTTGTCACATAGCTGCTATTGAAGAACTGCATCCTGAAAGAAACAAGGTATTTGTATAGTTTTTTCTTGATATGTTTTAATGGTGGTACTAAATAGGAACAAGTATTGAACTCCGGGCAATACAGAAGATTAAATGTCATTTGTTAGATGATGTGCTGGCTTGTTAGAACTGTAGTTACAGTGTGTGAAATACAGTGTGTGACCCTAAATATTGATTCACAGAATGTGGGCTCTGATTAGGTATCTGACCCCCCCCCCCCCCCCCCCGGACATAATGCACTTATGTTTTCCCATGCTCCTTAAGGACCCGGGGAACATGGTGCGCAGTAAGCCCCCTGCAGGGCTGGAGGACTCTCTATTTTCCATGCACACTCTTCACGAGGTAAGCGTGTCTGAGTGTGCTCTACCCAGCCAAGTAAGCTGCGGCCCGACTTCTCCACGGTCACAACCGGAGGAGAAGAAGTTGCGGTGCAGTGGCTGTTAACCAAAAGCCGGTCAGGGGCAGTGTGATGCGTCGATGTTGTTGGACGACAGGGCGTTTATCCATCAGGGCTCCACCCACTGTACCCATAGAGTCCAGTAGAGTGCGGAGCCTGTGTAAGATATAACGGGGGGTTGCGTATTGTAACCCTAGTTATATAAGCACAGGCGGAGCCCTCTACCTGTCCTATGCCGCTCGCTGAAGAGGGTGTAGGATGACAGTCAGGAGGTGTCGCCGCTTTATATACTGTGGGCTTGCGCGCGCATTCAGGTAGGCCCGCCCCGAGGGGCCGGCTACGTTTATAGATATCTCAGTAGGTGAACGCTCGCATAGCATGATTGAGGATAGTACCCATATAGTCCAGTAGAGGGCTCCGCCTGTGCTTATATAACTAGGGTTACAATACGTAACACCCCGTTTTGAGCACATAATATCAGGTCTTGTTTTTGAATGGAAACAAATAAAGACAAGGAATTAGATAATAAAATCAAAAGCAATCTAGGGTGAAACACACAGGAAGCACTCGGCCATGACCACAAACATCAAATGACTCGTTGTTTTCACAGACTAACAGCAATGCAATAAGAAACCGGCCAGCCCGGACAACGTGGAACCTTTCTTTTTAAAGATAGCTGCAGAGTTTATTGCTCCACCTCTCACTACTCTTTTTAACCTCTCCCTCAGCACAAACACAATTCCAAAACTGTGGAAGTCAGCGTATGTCCTGCCTTTGCTGAAAGGAGGGGAGGCAACTGTTTTAAATAATTATAGGCCAATCTCTAAATGATCAGTTCTGGCTAAGGTTCTTGAACGCCTAGTGAGTGAGCAGGTAAAGGTGTTTTTATGTACAAATGACATCCTGTCTAAACATCAGTCAGGCTTCAGAAAGCAACATAGCACCATCACTGCCACAATGAAAGTGGTGAATGATGTGGCGAGTATTTTAGATAATAAGCAGAGCTGTGCAGCTCTATTTATTGACCTTTCCAAAGCGTTTGATACCGTCGATCATCGCATCTTAAAGCAGAGGCTACTCAGTATTGGCATATCCAGTCATGCAGTGGGGTGGTTTGTGAACTACCTCTCTGAAAGGTCCCAATGTGTTCATTTTGATGGGCTGTCTTCAGAGTGGTTAAACATTACTAATGGTGTTCCTCAAGGTTCTGTTTTAGGTCCACTTTTATTCTCCATCTACATCAATAGTTTAGGTGAAAATGTCAATGGAGCAACCTTACATTTTTATGCGGACGATACCGTTATGTACTGTGCATGTCCCTCCATTAAGGAGGCTGTTGTTGAATTGCAAGCTGCTTTTAACATTATTCAGACACAGCTCTCTGAACTAAAGCTTCTTTTAAATGTTGATAAAACTAAGGTAATGCTCTTTTCAAAAGCCAAAAAGACACCAGAGCCTGTTTTAGATATTTTAACTACGCAAGGAATAAAACTTGAAGTGGTTGCCTGTTACAAATACCTTGGTATCTGGCTTGATGATTGTCTCACTTTTAAACGTCATGTCAATAACCTGCTTAAAAACTGAGGGTTAGACTAGGTTTCTTCTACAGGAACAAGTCCTGTTTCTCGCTCGAGGCCAGAAAAAGGCTAGTCACTGTGACCTTTTTACCTGTGCTGGACTATGGTGATCTGATTTATATGAATGCACCTGCCAATTGCCTGGTCAAGTTAGATGCTGCGTATCACAGTGCACTGAGATTTGTGACAAACTGTAAAGCATTAACTCATCACTGTACCCTGTATGCAAGGGCTGGTCTGCCTTCACTAACTGTACGGAGGCTCAGTCACTGGTACATTTTTATATATAAAGCCATGTTAGGGAAACTTCCATCCTACATCTGCTCCCTGATCTCACGGCGAATTGTAAGTGGCTACTGCCTGAGATCGCATGCTGTAGTTTTATTAAATGTGCCAACTGCTAGGACTGTCTTAGGGAAAATAGCATTTAGATGCGCAGCTCCACTGTCCTGGAATAGTCTGCAATTAAAATGGAAACTGAGCAATCTGGTGCCACTAAATGTTTTTAAAGCTCGGTTGGATGCTACTGAATCGGAAGCTGTTGGTACCTGTGCATGTGGATAGTATGTAAATTGTAATCCCTGTAATGCTACTGTATGATGTCCTTTTGTTGTTCTGTTTATGTTTTTAATGTTTCATGTGGAACCTACTTGAGCAGGTCTCCCTTGAAAAAGAGATCAATGATCTCAATGGGATACAACCTGGATAAATAAAGGTGTGAAATGAAATGAAATGAAATGCTCCTGAAACTGCCATCACTCTATCGTCCATTTCTATAGAATGCTGTTGCTTTTCTTTAGCCGATGCATTCTATGTTAGTCTAAGTTTTTCTGCACAAGATCTCAAAAATGTAATTGGAAAATGAAAGTAAAACAGAGTCAGTTTTATGGTCAAGGCTTATTATGGTCCTGTTATTGTTTCAATTTTCGATGAGGGGATACGTTTTGGCATTTCACAAGTAATGTCTTGACAGGTCAATTAACATGATCTACAGCAGGGGTGTCCAAACTACGGCCCGGTGGCCAACTGCGGCCCTTTATCCACTTTGAATTGGCCCTCAGCAAATTCAAAAAGTATAATGGAGTATGGCCCATAACTGAAACTTGTGCTTTTCTTATATTGTACTTCTTCAATATATATGTAAACATATATTATACAGTAGTATTCATGTGTTAATCAGCTCACTTTTCAAATAAATTCAGTCAGTTAAAGTTGAAAACATTTTCTAACCAATTTTAGTTGCTAAAAAAAAGCCTAATAACTTATTTGTATAACAAGCTTGAATACACCCTTCCTATTTCCCCTTATTATAAGCAATCTGAGGCTTCTGTTCTAAGGAATGACCTGCAAATACTTTTTGCAACACAATAAACAAAACCCTATGGAAAGTTCAAAGCTATGATGTAGGCTGTTTGTTTCTTTAAGCAGATTCAAGTATCGAGTGTAATTTACCTACGATAGATTGATATTGATAACTTATAACTTGACTTATGAGGCAATATACCTCACTGCTAGTGAGTGGCCCCGCCCTCCCTGTTTTTCTGTATGTCGCCCTCAGTGAAAAAGTTTGGACACCAGTGGCGAGCCGTCAGGGCCCTCTAGGCCCTCTGTGAGGGCCTAAGATATTCCAAAAAATTATATTTAAAAACATAAAAAAAAAATATTTTTTTAATATTATTTTTGTTATATTTTTCATTAGTTTTACCGAAAAAAAACTTGATTTAAGTGCCTGTTCAGTCTCTGTTTGAATGTGAAGGGTTACATGAAAGAAGCTCGTCTGGCTCTCTCTGCGATTCACAGAGGGCCCGCTATAGTAACTGAAGGAGAGAGTAATGTCAAATGACAGTACAATTGACCAATCATATCTTCCCTCTAAATGGGTGGGTTTTATTATCGCGGACTTTATGACAAGTTCCGCCCGCTGTGAAACTGTTCTTGTTTCCATAGCAACAACAACTTCCTGTCAACAGCGTGAACTCGCCTTCAAAATAAAAGCATGCCAAATTACACTTAAGACATACAACTGCAACGAAAGTAACAAACACAATGCAATATCATTTTCAATGTCAAAGAACACAAATTGGGTTCACAGGTGTTGTTTTGTGTGGTAGAGGGTCGCTGTCATTGATGCGTTTTGCACCCTGGGCCGTTGTTTTGATATTCCGCTGAAGTATACGCTGTGACGTAATAACTCTTTTTTTTTCTTTTTTTCGAGGGAAGGGGTGGGGGTCAGAGGGCCTAGGTATAAAGCTCACGGCTCGCCACTGTTGGACACCCCTGATCTACAGTATAACTTTAATTTGATGTCTTTTATACATAAATATGTGTCCCCGGTGTGTAAGGAGACTCAAAATGTGTCAGAAAATACGACCCTCTCTCTTTTCCTCCTTACCCACATCTCTAAAAATGCGGGTATAACGGAGCTGATCCAGATATGCTGCAGTCATGACGACATTACTCAAATGTGGGCTGGCTTTACGTTGAACTCCTGACAACCTTCCGCCCACGGCCCAAGCTATCGTCCCCTATCAGAAATGTTGCTGTATCAGAAACAATGGTCTGTGTTTACATTAGCAAGCATCGCTAACACTCAGAGCTAACGCTGTACTGGAGAAAATATGTGTAAAAAAGCCAGATATAAAAAGGTACTTACCTTGTGGTAAACCTGCAAGAGAGAAAGCATTTGAGCACCATACTGTTTCAGACGTAATGCTTGATGTGGTTTAGAACATAATATTGCGTTTAATCGGTACACTTCAGAGACATGTTTTGTATAGATATGGCCCTATAATATATTGTTCA